TTTTGTGAACAAAAGAAAGTAAAGAAGGAACAGAGGAACAAGACAATGGGGAAAACGCCACAGAAAAGCTTGCACATGAATGTCCACAGCAGCATGATTCGTAATAGCCAAAAGCCAGAAACAATCCAAAGCTACTGATCCCTTTATTTATTTATTTATTTATTTATTGGTTTTTCTCCGGTACCGGGAACCAAACTCACGACCTTGCGCTTGCCAGGCAGGCGCTTTTGCCGCTGAGCTAAATCCTCGGCCCCCTAAAGCTACTGATCAATAAAATAGGATATATCCACACAATAGAATGGTATTCAGCAGTTAAAAAACAAGTACTGATACCTGATGTAGCATGGATGAACACTGAAAATGTAATGCTAAATAAAAGCAGCAAGATACAAGAAAATATCTATTGCTTCATTCCATCTTATCAATGACCAGAGAGGCAAATCTATATAGACAGGTGAATTCACAGCTACCCAGGGCTTGGGGTCAAGGTGCAAGATATTGGAGAAAAATTGGCACTGTCCAGTCTTTTTTAATTTTTTAAAGTTTTATTAGTCCATGTTTGTAGCACATAATGATCACACTCCCCATGAGGAGCTGGTGGGTGTGCACAGCACATCTGAATTCTTTTCACTTCCCATTCAGAGCGTCTTTCTTTAGGGTAATGAAACTGTTCTAAAATTGACTGTGGTGATGGCTGCCTAACTCTGTGAATATACTAAAAACCACCAGATTGCACACTTTAAATAAATGTGAATTATATCTCAATCAAGCTGTAAAATTTTTTTATTTTTCAAGAACAGATTCAGCAAGATGAAGGCTTTCTAGGAGGCTTTCCTTGATTTCTCCAAACAGAAAACACATGCACACACACACATGCATGCACACACGCATGCACACACACATGCAGACTCACACACGCATGCACGATTGCCCAAGTAGATGTATACTGTTTCATAAAGACATGTTAAATTATTTCAACAATTTCTCTTTCAGCAAATTCCTGAACAAAGTGGAAAAAAGCTTTTTTTTTGCTCTGTTGAAAGGAACAGTTCATGTTGAAGTATATGATCAATCTTACATGCCTATGCTTATCTGAGTATCCAAATTGAGGATATCAATATGTAATACAACCACCATTGTTAATTTCCTATCACCTTGTCTGAGATTCTGTACTGCTTGTATTGTTTTGTGTTATTTTCTAAATGTATGTGTTTGTTAAGATGTTTTCATTCTTTTATCTTTAAAATAAAAAAAAGAAGCATTTTTATACAATCCTCACATATTAACAACAGTAGAGAGCTCTCAGCCCTGAGAGCTTCACATGGTTCAGTTCACAGTTTCCCCCACTGCTGTCCCTTCCCATTATGTTCCTCAAGCCATTCTGCACACTCCCTTACTCTTAATCCAAGGAGCGAGTTTAGATTATACAGTCTCACAGGAACTTAACGCGTCTTACATGGTTTATGTGCCAGTACCTGTTGTAAGCTCCTGGCATGAATTAGTCATTTAATCCTCAAACAATTCCCTGGTGCCCACTCTACAACAAACTGATCAAGACTTCAAGGTCAAAATAACTGGCCCAAAAACTAGGAAACAATGGGGTTTCAAACTTAGGTTTCTTCATGATACTACCACTTATAGGGAAAAAAAGTAGTATCTCTTAACTAAAATAATTAGTATTTAACTTCGAAGCGGAAAGAACAGTGTCCTTTTCCTGGGGTCAAGGTCAGTCACAAGGTCCAGGAGGTCCCCTACTTGAAGAATAGATTAAAAGTCTCAGTTCAAACTGGGGTCACTGAGTGGACCTCAACCCTACTGCCCCCAAAGTAGGTCTCCACCTGACCCAGCTCTCATCCAGCTCTCAGAAATGTATTAGGACACAGGAGAACTCCAGGCTTGCTCCGAGACAGTAGAAGGGCCTTGAACGCCATTATAAAGGCGAGGCCAGGGATTGCTCCCCTGAAATTCTGGCTGTTTATCTCTTGGAATGCGTCTAGCCCAAAATGAGATGGGAAATATTCCGAAGATGAATGAAGTAAAAAGAATGTGAAATACTGTGTGTTAAAATAGCATTTCAAACATTTGGGATCAAGTATGTACTTGAAATCAATTTCGCCTGTGGCCTTTCAGCGTGGTGACCAGACATTAAAGTTAAGTATGTGGCTCACAGTCCGATGGGACAGTGCTCTCTCCTTGAGCCTCTGGGCTGCGCCAGGCACCGGCTCCCAGGGGGCTCTGGCTTTGTGAAGGTTCCTGAGACGTCTGTGAGGGGGAAGGGGAGGAGGCGCCCTCGGCACAGAGCACCGAGGGCCAAGCGCAGGTGAACTCAGACACTGGCGCTCTACACACTCTCCTCTTCCAAGCTCAGGCGGGTGTCCCCGAACTTGGACACTGTCTTCAAGATGTAGCTCTGTCACCAGGGGGACGTCCAGGGATCTTACTGCCACTGGGCTGAGCCTGCAGACGGCACCACCTGGTCCCGAGTCGGCTGCTTCCTCTCCCACCTGGCTGCTGTGCTAGGAAGTCTGAGGGGACCCAGGGTAACAGACAGGGTCCACACCTGAATTCATGGTCAGTGTGCACCGCTCATTTTCCACAGAGCAGTGGTCTCACCCTTTCTTCCCTCTGGACTCTGCCTCCACCCCACAGCCCGTGTTAGCCAGGACGCTCTCACCCCTCAGCACCACCAGCTGTTTATTTGCTGAGCCCGCCTGGGTGCACCTGAGTGCCAGGCTATATTGGAGTGTTTTGCTGCCTTGCAGTACAAGCCAGTGACTAAATAAGCAAAGGCACTGAACCTCTACCAAAACACCATCGATTACGGGGGTAGTGAGTCGGTGTGACAGGAAGTGAGCGGTGAGGCAATCGAGCAGGGCTCAAGAGACCGTCTGAGGGCTGGAGCCACGGGGTGTCTGGGGTCAGCTCGCCCACTGCGACAGCAAGTGCACAAACCCGTCAGCCTAGGTTGTGGAAGACTTGACATGAGAGTGCTCAGGCCCTCTCACTCCTGAGGGAGGGAAATGCCCTCCCCACAGCCACGAGCTGCCCGGCACCCTCAGTCAGGCCCTGGGGCGGCTGTAACACGAGCGAGGCCTCGGTGTTCTCCTGTTGGGTGTAACTAAAGGATTCACAAGGGATCGCCAGACAAGGACATTCTGGGAGCACAACGAAGACAAACACAAGACCCCTCCTCAGTCACATGCGGACAGAGACGAAACGAGCAGTCCTGAGCCAAGCCCCAGGTCTTGAGCCCCAAAATCAGTCCCAACCCTCCGTCCCACCACGCCCTGACTGAGACACCCCAGGCCTCCCCACAGCGAGGGATTCCCTCATTCAGCGGGCTGATGACCCCAAGTTGGTTTCTGAATGGCCCCTGGCTTCAGGAAATGAACAAGCCTTAGGCACAGGCCCCCCACACCAGGTCGGCAAAGTCTACAGTGGCCACTGCGACTGTGTCACAAGGAGAGGGGTGGGGTGGCAAGCATGGGGGGGACAAGCCAGAGGGGGGAACCCACGGCCGTCAAGCTCCCGGTGACAGGCACAGATGCCTCCTACAGAGGCCACCTTCCCTAGGCCCACCCTAGGATGTCACGGACACACCGGCCTGGAAGGCCTGGTCTTTAGGTTGGGGTTTCACAGGCCCATGTCTCCACCATCACCTGGAGCATTAACTTGAGTGCAAGTATGTTAACAAGGGCCAACATCGGCAGTGCTGGCATGAAGGACGCCACTGTCACTTGTCACCCACCTTCCCCACTGTCAGTGCTCCCGCCCCACCCTCTCCCTCTGCCAGGCCGGCCAGACTGCCACATGCTGGGAGCTCAGAAAAAAGATGAAAAATGCAGGGTCAAAACTGTATGAGCTCTAACTGAAACCAAATGAAATACATATTTTTATTCAAATCCAAGTGATCTTCTTCCTCTGAGGCCTTGGAGAGGGGAGCAACCTGTCCTGGACACAAACCTTTCCCCAGCACACTGGCAGCCCGTGCTGAGCCCTTCAGACTGGTGATGTGGACTGGGAAACTGTTTCTTTCAGCCAAATTACCGCCAGTAGGGTCGTGTTTAATCAAGATTTACCTCAGGCAGCGTGCACCGCAGGCAAAGCAAGTGTTTTGCTTTCTTTGCGAGAAAACCCTTACAGTAACACTCCAACGACCTGCAGTTTGCTCACAGGTGCGCACCCCGTGAGACCCACAAAGCATTTCCATGTGACGTGGAGCGTGCAGGTGTTTTTCAGAAACCGAGTTTAACCTTGTTTATCTTTATCTCTGAATTAAATCCATGCCACAAAAACTGGATTATTTTGCAAATTTGTTCTGCTGGGGTTTCTCAGCTAAGATCTGGTGCCCATTTTTGTGTGAAAATGATCTGTCACTCCAACTGAAAGTCTTGAGGAAAAATAAAGCACTACCAACACCCTTTCCCAACCACGTGGGTCACAGCTCCTGGGGACTTAGAGTGAGGAAGGAAGGATGCAGCAAGGAGAAGCCCCCAGGCCTGACTTTTATTCTGTGATTTCATTTAGAGCGCAAGCTTTAACTCAGGGTCAGCTGAGGAAGTCAGTGTGCAATACTGTACCAAACTGGCATGGAGAAAGAGGCTCTTCACACAAAGACCCTAACAACAGAACTGCTGCGTTACAGATGTGTGGGGCCCGTCCAGATCCAGAATCATCGCCGCGCTCGTCACACCCTCCTTTCCCTGCCTCCTAAGCAGTCTCTGGACAGCGCACTGCCTGCCAGGCTAAAAGGAAAGCTCAGGTTCCCTACCTTACTGCAGAGCAGCTTCCATGACGACGGAAGTTTTGATTCATGTAAAACCTGCGAACTATTCCTTTGTTCGGCTGTGTCATCCTCACACTGACGTCAAACTCTCCCAGAAAAGACTCATTCACCAGTATCTGTCTATGGCACAGGACTTCCACCCCTACCCTGACACATACTGCAGGAGCCAAACAGATCCCCATTTCCTCGCAAACTCCGCAGTCAAGACAAGGAGTCAAAATGGCACCACAGGGTTTTATTTCAACCTTCGAACAACATAAATAGGTGACGACTTCGGACACTGAACCATGCAACACGAAAGGAACAACATAAAAAATCAACACAAAGAAAATCACCTTTAAAAAAACGAGTACTTCACATTTCACAGCAGTGCTCGGCGGTGTTGGCAAGTGTTTCTGGCCAACTGCTTCCAACACGGGGATCAGAACTCACCCCTTCATCGGAACAAAATTACCACGTTTTCCCCCTGCTAATTCGCATTCCAAGTCACTACACACTGCACTGCTCTCCTCGGATTTTTGTAAACTTGATTCTTAAAATATAAGTAGGAATTGTGCGTGATCACAATGAAAGCTACCTAAACAAAACAAAACAAAACAGAAAGCAGCAGAGAAGTAAACAAAGTTTCCTGTAAGGCATCAGGAGGTCACTGCTGGCTGGGCCCTTCATTTCACCGACTTAAAAGTTTTGATTTTATTTCTCCGCAAAAAAACCCCAATGTTCAGAAACTTAACCAACAGGCTCAAGTCGAAAATGTCAAAGACAGTCCCCCCCACCCCCCTCCATTTTTTTTTGGTAAATATTTTATATAAAACATGAAATCAAGTTCTACTTTATAAAAAAACTGAGTATGTTTAATAGTAAAAATATATATATATATGTTTAAATCTCTTTAAAAAGACATATAACAACAATACTTCAGAAGACTGGATTGAATCCACTGCCCCCTCCTCACAGCCAGCTGTCCACCCCGGCACAGACACATTAAGGCGAAGGCTCCAGGAGGCACCGTGTCCACCTTGGCTTGGCTGGAGACTCAAAGCGAGCGTTCGGCTCCCTGCAGGATCAAGCGCGGCCTCTCCCTTATGTCCACCGAGCCGTCCTGCATCCCGAAGTAGACTCTCTCCGCCATGTTGATGAACAGGCCTGTGTCCACCACACCTGCGGGACAGAGGACAGACAGCATCAGTGTAAGCAGCACTGGACAGATGACACATCTAGAGCCTTGTTCTCCCACAGAGCAGCTGACAGACTCTGATCATCCGTACTTCTTCCTGTGGCCTCTTCCTCCCATCCCACTGTGGCGTTGTTCCTGTCCCCAAACACGCCAAGCTCTGTCCCACCTCAGCGCCTTTGCTCGTGCTGTGCCCTCTGCCTGAACGGTCATCTTCAAGCACTTCTAGGGGCTGCTCTTCGCTATCCTTTGATAAATCAGATGCCAAGTCCTCCGCTAGACAGACACTCCACGACTACTGTAAGCAGGCCCTACTCCCGGTTATTTTCAATCATGTGACCAGATCTGACCGACTTCCTCGGACTGGAACGAGATATTTGCAAAGCACACACCTGACAAAAAAAACCACATCAAAATGCGTTAAAAAATCCTCAAGTCACTAAGAAAAAGACAATCCAATAGAGAAATGAGTGAAAGACAAACAAGTACTTCAAAGAAACAGCCATCCAAAAATTCTTTAGTCAAAAAGAACACACTATACACTCACTGAAACGAGCTGGCTAGGATGTAAATGCGAGCTCACACACTGATAGGGGAGGGTAATTGCAAAACCATTTTGGAAAACGTTTGCTAGCACAACTTCTAAAGCTAAACAAACATGAGGTATGACCAAAATATATTACTAACTTATTCCAGTAAAAGATACATTGCTATACTCTCGCTCCAAGTCCGCCACCTCACTTCAAACACACTTACCCCACGGTCCTCACCGCTCTCTGAAGCAGTTCTGAAAGCCACCTTTCATGAGCGTCTTTTCAAGGTGTGACAAAGAAATACACATACAGTGAATGCTGCTGCTGAGTGCCCTCCACCAGAAAGGCAGGCTCATGAAGATACTACGGCGTGTCCTCAACACCTTACTCACCCGATCCAGCGCCACGCAACTCCTGAGTCTTCCCCAAAGTCAAAATGACTATGAAAGGTAAACGTTTGAGTTCAGTCAGGACACTGAGACAGCCACACAGTGTAACTAGGATACTCACAACACAGGACTTCAGAACTGCTTCACAAAGTACCAAGAATGACAGGATAAGTGTGTTTGAAGCAAGAGGTATTTTGAGGAGAATTCTATCAATGTCTTTTACTGTAATAAATTTTTTTTAAACATTCACTTTTTCTATCACATCTAATATTCCTATGTAATCACACAGCAGTTCTACTCCTAGATATGCAATTGTTAGGCACAAATATGCTCATTAAAGAACAAGCTTAAGATATTCATAACAGCACTTTTGCTTTTTTGTGAGACAGTGTCTCACTGTGTAGCCCAGGCTGGCCTTGAACTCAAAGCAATTCTCCTGCCTCAGCCTCCCACCACACCTGGCAGCAGCACTTTTCCTAATAGCTAAATACTGAAAACACCCAAATGCTCATAAAGAGTAGAATGGATATAAACATTTTTTTCATATACACACAGTGAAATACCATTCAGCAGTGAGAATGAACTACAATTACATTTGGTCTTTCTCAAAAATTTATATAGATGCACGTGCATGTGCACACACCCATGCACACTATGAGATACCACTGATCAGCTACCAATAAAAAGGTTTCATGAACCTCATATGTAGGGAACCAGAGACTGGAATCTGTTGTTGGCAGAAGGCTAAACCGGTGTAGGAGGAGGATGCAGCTCAGTGCGAGGGCCCCAGGTTCACTCTTTAGTTTCACAAAAAGCAAAAAGAGATGGGAACAGAACATCTACACAGTGTGACGTCATCTGTATAAAAAGGGTCAACAGCGGAGTTGGAACTTGGGTATTTACGAACGTTCATCCAAAAAAAGATCACCTGATAACAATGCTGCCTCCAGACAATGTAACTAACTGCCTGGGAGAGAGAGACAGGAAAGATGGTCTTAGGAGCCAGGCGTGGTGTTGCACAACTATAATCCCAGGACTCAGGAGGCTGAGGCAAGAGGATGGCCGCAAGTTCAAGGCCAGCCTGTGCTACACTGTGAGTTCAAGGCCAGCCGGAACTACGTAGTGAGAAGGGAGACCCTGTCTCAAAAAAATTTTTTTAAAAGGTGTACCAGGAAAGATGGTTGTGCTTATTAATTTTCAATGAGGTAAACGAAAAAGTTAAAACTTTGAGAGACAAGCCTGAATAAGCACAAAAAGGGCAGGGAGGTGCTCAAACATGGAGGTCCCAACATCAAACTTGGCCCGGGCCATGGCAGCCTCCCACAGATGACCGATGCAGCACTCAAGACCCAACCTGTCTTTGGAAAGTCACGTCCGCTTCACAGGAAGAGCACACGAGTGGGCAGAAATCTCAGGAATGACCCTGGAGCAGCCTGTCTTAAGTTACTGAGATGCTGGGGTCACTAGTGCTCTGGTCCCAGATCAAGTGGACAGGGGAGAGGATGCTGGAAGTGAGCATGGGTGAGGGGAAAGAACCGTCTAACGGCACTGCTCCTAGAGGTTCCTCACGTGTGCAAATATACCTGGGGCAGGGACACCTGCACTAACAGGGCACCCTGTCCTGCTCCTCTTCTGACACTGCAGCGGATCTAATGGGCACAACTAGGAAGAGAAAAGGAAAGAGAAGACAACACGCCACTCCGATGGGCCTGTTAATAACACATCGGTTGATTTAATAGCTGGCCTCCACTTTTCATTGTCTTCAAGTTGCAAAAAAAGGAAAAACCTCTGAACTTCTCGCAGACATAGCTTCTACAAACTTAGGTGGACAGCACAGCGGGGAAGATCTCTTCCCACAGTCAGTAAGCTGAGAAAGGCCCAAGGGGGGCAAGAGAGCCCCCTACTGGGCACTACAGGAAACCAACAAACAGAGAAGCACAGCGAGCCTTTTCCTAGAGGGTCCCCTGGGTCTGTCTGCGTTACCGTGGAGGCAAGTTCTGGGGTTTTAGTGACTGACCTCCACATCATCTCTCCCACCTTCCTGGCTCTTTAGCTCTTCTCTTAAGGGAGTAACAATGAAGAAGATAATCAGTCGGCTTGGCCGGAGATATAGCTCAGCAGCATAAGTGCCTGCCTGGCAAGCACAAGGTCCAGAGTTCAATTCCCAGAACCAAAAAAAAAAAAAAAACAAAACAGTCTGCTCATCTTTTTGATTTAAAAAATCCAGTAATGAAGGGCAACAGATTAAAAGACCAAAGTGGAATTGGAAGAATTAGCTTTTTCTGGGAAGCTGAAGCAGGAAGATTTCAATTTCGATCCTAGCAATTTAGCAAGATCTTAACTTGAAAAACAAAGACAAAAACAGCTGGGGATAAAGTCCTGTGCCAAAGCCCTAGGTTCAAGCCATATACCCACACAGAAGAATTAGCTGCTTTACTGCAAGCACATAGCGACACCATTTTTGTTCTCAAGTAATACGGTTAACTTAGAACCTTGTATATTTAATGCAGATAGCATCCTTTCTCCCTAGGGATTTATTCATTCAATAAATACTTCTCTGTGTGCTGGGCACTGTTCCAGTAAATCCAATCTCCTTCCCCAACAGCCCTATGAGGTAGGCAGTAGTATTAGCCCCTTTTGCAGAGTGTAGTGGTTGACTGATTGTGTCCACTTGAGAGGTTTAGAAGCTTAACTAAACTGGTTCAGCAATTCTGCACCTAGGGTGTAGAGGAGCCACCCTGCGGTGGATCATCACCTACATGACACAAAAGGGAAATGAGGGAGGACAGAGGGGTTTCCATTCTTCAGAGGAGCTCCAGTCTTTGCCTTTAGCTTGGATGTCGTTTCCTGGCTTCTAGTGCACTCTTTGGTTTCCGCCTTGGATCCTCCAGCCTTCTGGTGTAGACTCATCAGCCTTCCGTCACAGACCCATCGGGCTCCTGATACTGACTTGCACAGAACGCTACAGTGAACTCCAGACCTTGGAGTGAATCTGTCAGTCTCCAGGGTGCAGACACCCTCTGCGCGCTTCCTCATCCAACTCGGTGGCTGACCATCGGAAGCCAATCTTGTAATTTCTTATACATTTGTGTATCTTGTGTTATATCTGTTTCTCTAATAAAACCCTGACTGACACACAGAGGAAGAACCCGCAGCACAGCGATGAGCTGGCTGCTCTAGATCCACAATGCGCCAGGTGTACACCTGTAATCCCAGCACTCAGGAAGCTGAGGCAGGAGGATCGTTATGAGTTCGAGGCCAGCCTGGGCTACAAAGTGAGCTCAAGTCCAGCCTGAACTGCATAGTGAGACCCTGTCTCAAAAAGACAAAAAAATAATAATAACATTAAAAAAATAAATCCACAATGCTAGAGCATGATCCATAGTGAGACCCTGTCTCAAAAAGACAAAAAAATAATAATAACATTAAAAAAATAAATCCACAATGCTAGAGCATGATTGAGTTCTGATCCCCATCCAGGCAGTCTACAATATCCACTTGGCTCACTTGATCTTATCTGCCTCACTAGTCAGTTCAACGACACAGTGTCACTCTGCTTCTCAGTGTCATAAAAGATGGCGACCTCCTCGATCCTCCTCCTGCTCTTAATCTCATAGGAGCCCTCAATAATTCCTCTGGCCTCGAACTCATCTCTCCACTACCCTCCCAGCCCTCAGGGAGGCCCTGCTCTCATCTACACATATTCCCCGGCACAAGCTGCATGCTCACGCCACACAGCCTCTCCCTTACGTGTGCACTAAAGCTCACGGTCCCGAGTCAGACAACCTAGGCCTCCCATCGTAGTCTGCAGCCATGGGCAAATCACTGCCCTTCTCAGCCCATGGCTCATCCACGCAGGAACTGAATGAGGCTTCCGAAACCCTTAGCTCAGTATTAGACCACACCTAGATGATACGGCCATGCTAAGGCCCCCGCCACGAACCACCTCCATCCCACAGAACTTTGTCACGCTTTCCGAAAGACACAACCTGTGTATTCTAAATGCCTGGTGTTCCTCTCAAAGAAACAGCACCCTCCACCTTACTGGAAGGCGTGGCTTCCACACCACCACAGCTTTCCCAGGCGTACAGCAGCTCTCCCTGGGGACAACCCCACGCACTATAGATCCAGCATCCCCCAAAACGTGCCACAGCGTCGTCCTGTGTGCAGCCAGTGGGTGTGGGTTAACCGAGTCATCTTCCCCACTGCTTAAGGAGAGGCCAAAAATGATTAAGAAGCTGCAGTTCAGCTCTTGGAAGGAAAGGCCCTTCCCAGAGATGACGGTAACCTTATGTCAAGGCAAGCTCTCTCTGACTCCCATCAGCTCCAGGGCTGTCCCAGCTCAAACGGTTGTGAAAGATACACACCAGGGGCTGGGGATTTAGCTCAGCGGCAAAAGCGCCTGCCTGGCAAGCGCAAGGTCGTGAGTTCGGTTCCCGGTACCGGAGAAAAACCAAA